TCCATCATTCTATCTATCTATCTATCTATCTATCTATCTATCTATCTATCTATCTATCTATCTATCTATCTATCTATCTATCTATCTATCTATCTATCTATCTATCATAGATTTGTGATTTTGCCGATTAAGACGTTCCAGAATCAACATATCTTGTTGACCCTGGAAGAACGTTCCTGTCCAAAGCCCGTTCGTGTCCCTCATATTCGATCAGTTGATTAGATTGTTGTTCTAGGATCAACAAAGATCTTCTGTGCTCAGCATCAGTCTGTAAAATGCAGCTCTTTCAGGTTTGGAGAAGAACTTTTGACCAACACAGTCCATCCCCTCCTTTGATTGTGAAACTAATTTCGCAACTGGCTATTTTTTCTTAGAGTTACAGGTTTGATTCGTAACATACTGTTTGCAAGGTGGGCGGACGCTCAAATGGACTCCTGACTGGGTGACCCGTTTAAAATCCGGACAACAACCTATTAACATCCCCACAACAAAACACTGATAATGTCCCCAGCATGTAAAACAGCACGTTTCTAAATACACTTCCCATACGCGAGAGGATCACGTCATCGGCTCAAGATTACAATCATGTCTTTGTCAGTCTTACACAGTTACGTTTAAGTCACAAAAATAATACTATAAAAATCTACCACATAAGGCCTGAGAGCCCAAAAGGGGGCGTTTCAATTATGTTTATGTATATGGAAGTTAAACTTACTATTATTGAGACTCCAGCTGCATCTAGAAGAATGAAATATTCATAAAGCACAAAATTTAATGAGCGTATCATACAATCAGACATCTCTAATCAGCAGCAACAAGGACTAACAAGCTTACCTTCATTAATCAGCATCTCTCGTCAATTTCCAGTTCATTAAACAACAATGTGCCGAACTTCAGCGGGGTCTCCGTCACAAGCTCAGTGGACTCACACAGTGATGGGAATGCATGGGAAGGTCAAGGAAAACAGAGTCCAAACTGAAGACAATTTGGTGAAACCAACATTTGTGCAACAGGCAGAAGGATGGATCTGAGTGATTGGATGTCATTGTTTTTATCGTTCTGAAAATGACTCTGCCGTTAAGGCCAATTTATACTTCTGCGTCGTGGGTACGCCGTAGTGTACGGCGTTGGCTACGCACGTAGGCGACGCCGTTGTGAGCATTTATACTTCTGCGTTCAGGTCTTGGTTGCTCTGCAGTACTGCTCCGAAACGCTAGTTGGCGGCGGAGAGTTTTAATGTTCCACTATGTTTAGATTCCTCGCGGCTAGGTTACTACGAGCAATAGCGACTGAAAGAGAGCTGATCATGTTGGAGTTGGAGCTTATTAAGGTGGAAAAACAGTTCACTTTAGTGAAATTACTAAAACTGAAAGGCAGAAATGAGAGAAGACTTCGGAGGAGATGAAACACGTGGAAATCATAGACAGTGGTGGAAATGCGTGAGAAGGTACGTGCGGAAATGCCTAGGAGGAAATGCGATGCTACCAAGCCGACCAATCACCGATCTTGCGGTCCGCGTCGTCGCGACGTGTAGTTACATTTTTGAGGAGGTGCGCGTCAGGCGACGGCGAAGGGTACGTGGTATGGGACGCGTCTGTGCGTATGCTACGCCGTACCTACTGCGCGCACCCTACGCAGAAGTATAAATTGGCCTTTATCGTTAACGTTTTGCTGAGTTCTCTACTAACCTATTCTGTTATATTTAGAAGAATTTACAGAACTATCTTTATCGTTATAGTTATAGTCCTTGGTGTGAACGGGCCTTTAGGTAACAAACATGCAACGCACAAAGATCAGGTTCAGTTTCCCTGAAGCAAGTGGATAATGGCAAAGGAAACACAGAATAACTTCAGATTAGAAAGCCTACTGGGGTTTGAACCTGCTAACTTTTAAGTTGTCAGAACCAATCATTATCCACAATGCCAGTGAACCTCAGTCGGGGAGCCGGTTCTCCTCTGGCCAATGCTGTAATTAAGATCCAGGCTGCGTCACAAGTCAGAAATCCGATTATGGATCAGTAGCATTTAAATACTTTCTCCAGTCTTTTTTACTTAAAGATCAAATACATCACGCCAGAATGGAGACGACGCTGGTCTGGGGTGCATTTCCCGAAAGGATCGTTAGCCAACTATGGTCGCAATTTCAATTGAACTCTATTGGTAACGAGAGAACTTGCGACCATAGTTGGCTAACGATGCTTTTGGAAAACGACTGACAACGATAACCTCGGGATATTAGCATAGATGCTATTCTTTTTACGATGTTACAAGTACATCAGGTGTTATGGAAAGTGTTCAACAGATATGAATTATGGAAATGTGATAATGCGTTGCGTATGCCAGGTTAGGATGCGTTTTTAGTCTAGATTTAAACTGAGGGTGTGTGTCTGCTTTCCAAACAAGGCAATGAATACTGTTCCAGAGTTTAGATGCTAAATAGGAAACGGATACACGGCCACCAGTTGATTTTGATATCACACTCTAAAAAATGCTGGGTTGTTTCAACCCAAATTTGGGTCAGATATGGACAAACCCAAATGTTGGGTTAAAAACGTAATTAAAAAATGTACAGCTGAAAGTGAAAGTTGAAGTTGGGTTCAAATTTTACGTTTTCAAACCAACTTTTGGGTTGGTCCATATTTGACCCAAATTTGGGTTGAAACAACCCAGCATTTTTTTAGAGTGTATATGCATCAACTGACCCGAATTTTGAGATCATCTTTCTGCTTGAAGAACTAGCTATAGGTTCAGTGCTGTCAAATAGCTAACAGATGTTTTGTGTCACAACTGTTAAATCATGTCTTTTATCATTAGTGACATGGACAGGAAGCAGATCCAGTATTTTATAGAAACATGTAACTATCCATATCAGACCACTAAATAGGACAAATGAATGTCAAATGGGAAACTAAGCGATATGATTCTTGGAAATCTGGAGGGCTTCTAGGTCAGTTCAAAAAGTTTGAGTAAATACACCTCTCACTCGATGACTGCAACAGAAAGCTTATATCAAACCATCAAATCTGAAGAACTTTAGATATTTTCTCACAATTTTCCCAACAACAATAAAAAAGGATTCTCCAAAGTCTAATCAGCGCCAAAGGCTGGATCTGGAACAATGTTTGTTTTATAAGACAATCTCTATTTGGTGTTCAATAGCTGAATGTCCTTTCATGAGGTCAAGCCTTGTTGTGTCATTCATCATCAGTGACATTTCCAATCAATCCAAGACTGAGAGAAAACAACAACAAGAAAGTAGAACGAGTAGAACCGAACAAAACCAGATGCTTTCCTAAAGAGTTGACCTCTCATCCACACCTCTCATCTAAAACAAACTCACATGTACACAGACCTTGGTCCACAGATCAATGCTCTTTAAAGGGACTCTCTTCAAATGATCAACACTGGAAAACAAACCCTGAGTGATAAACATGCTCCGTCCCAAAAACACATGTCATCAAAAGAATAATTATTTATAGAAGTCTTGTGTTATCAATTATCGGTTAAGGGTTAAAAATGATTGTGTGTGTGTGTCCTGATTACAATGATCCAATTCAAAAACACTGGGGAAGTATGTGTGAATTTGTAAAGGCTGCATAACAACAAGTCAAGACAAGCAGAACCCAAGAGACGGACTCAGAAGCCAAGAGAACCGTGTCTAAACTACAATTGGGAACGTCAGGAAGAAATCTTTTTGCATGTGAAGGGAAATCAATAATTCCTAATGTATATGAACTTTTATTGGAATTTCAGGAGCATGCATAATGACAAGTCCAGGGATATAATATGAATGACATTATAATATATGAGCAAATGTGATTGTGACACACAAATGCACACACTAGCGTCATCTCTGACTAGTCTCTGAATCACACAGACTGATACTGAACTCTTTGATTCACTGCGGGTCACGATGATGCCAAACATGAGAGACCAAAAAGAGCAAGAGTGACTCAGGCTAAAGACTGTTGTGTGCCGCTGCCAGCCTGCCACGACCCCTCTCAACACAGCATGAGTGTTATTGTGCCACACAGCACACACACACAAACACTCCCACTCCACCACACTTCTCCTCATGAGACCAGACGAGGGGAAAACACTGATGCATTCAACTATTCAATCAGAAATGCGTCACATTTTAGAACCATTTAAATGTTTTGTTATGATATATATATATATATATATATATATATATATGATATAATTTCTATAATAATTAAAAGAGTAGTTCACTTTTGAAAAAAAACTTTAGCTGATTATTTACTGACCCCCATGTCATCCAAGATATCCATGTCATTCTCATCCATGTCATTTCCATATCATTTTCCATGTCATTTTCGTATGTTTATTTATTCCTATGTCTAACTCTGTGGTGTTGTTTTTCGCTGCACTGTTTCGCTTTGTCTTGGCCAGGTCGCAGTTGTAAATGAGAACTTGTTCTCAACTGATTTTACCTGGTTAAACAAAGGTTAAAGAAAAATAAAAAATTCTTTCTTCAGTCAAAAAGAAATTAAGGTTTTTGATGAAAACATTCCAGGATTTTGTCCATATAATGGACTTCAGTGGGAACCAAACGGTTCAAGGTCCAAACTGAACAAATCTTTTTCCGAGTCAATTCGTTCGTTGAATAAACCAAATGACTCGGAAAAAGATTTGTTCATTTTGATGAACGAGTTCGAACAGGAGAGTCACGAAAGCGCATCACAGAACAGAGCAAGGAGACCATTTGAGCTTATAAAACGTAAACTTTTTTATTTATTTATAAAATAAGTGATCGTTTTACTTGATAAGACCTTTGCACTGTTTGAAGTTTGCACTGAAACTATCTTTTGGACCTTGAACCGTTTGGTTCCCATTGAAGTCCATTATATGGAGAAAAATGCTGGAATGTTTTCATCAAAAACCTTAATTTCTTTTCGACTGAAGAAAGAAAGACATGGGCATCTTGGATGACATGGGGGGGAGTAAATTATCAGCAAAAGTTTTTTCAAAAGTGAACTACTCCTTTAAAAAACAGAAATTAAGCAGATACAGAAATATATTTCAGTAATGAGAATTTATGCTCAAATTATGACTTCACCCAAGACCAATTAAATTCTGAACTCTAAAAGTGGTCTTCCATGATATTTAAATATAATATGGTTCAAAAGTCCTCAAAATGCTTACTTTTTTACTTTAATAAAAAAAAACGTTTTAGTTAAAAAAAATCTTAATATACAAATCAGCCTAAACTGAACAATCTCAAGCATTCTTTTTGATGTCACATCAAATTTCTTTGTTAAAATCATTTAATACTAAAATTACATTTTGAATTTGAGATTTCAATGTGGACTTGAATTATATTTCTAAGAGGACGCTGCTGACATCTAGTGCTTGACATCAACATAACTGCTGAATATTCAGTTTGGCCATAACAGAAATAAATTTACCATAAGATTTCACATATCTTTTTTCTTCTTTTTTAACAGTGTGGGTTGATTTCCGAGAAAAATGTAAACACTTCAAGCAAATGTCAATATTTGAGGGCATTTCAGATCTCAACAAGCAACCAACCACATTTGGATCAACAGAGTCAAGTCCACTGAAGAGCTTTGAGTGTTTGAGGAAAATAGGAAAATTCAGATTCAGACAGACCAGATCACAAGAGTGATGGACTGTGACTATAGCTGTAGTCTAGCCTCAAACACAGAGGCTACTGGATCCACTGAAGGCACGAGGTCAAAGGTCGCTCCTGACACCTTCACCCACCACCAAACATCTCTCCTCAGAGCCATTCTCCTCACTTTCTCCCTGCTCACCACCCACTCCCTCAGCAACTGCATGTTCCACAGCACAAACTGGCAGGATGGTAAACAAAGCAGAGAAACTCCCAGAATGCAAAGTGTGGCCACTAGAGGGCGCTCACTGAAATCAAGAATGCTGTAGATGTAGTGTTTACCATCCAGGTTGGTGCAGCCCATTAGCCAATAAACAACAACAAATATGGTATAAAGAACTCCTGCCAGCGCAGCGTAGAAGAGGTGGGCGAGATGAACGGGTGTAGAGGACAACAGCAGATCCACGGTGGTCTGGATGCTGTTGATGGCATGGATGTGGACGCTGAGGGCTGTGTCCTGGTCCGAAGTGTGGATTAGGGTCCAGTAGACTATGGTGACGGTTAAAGAAGAGCAGCCCATCAAAGAATGCAGGAACCACTGCAGGCAGAGAGAAGCGACCGGAGGAGAGAGGAGGGTCTCGCACTCACTACTGCCCCCTACTGGAGGAAAGGACTCCATTAAAGCATGAAGCACTTGAACGCAGATGACATTTAGCTCTGGTTTCACAGACACGGCTTAGATTAAGTCAGGATTAAGCCTTAGTTTAATTAGGACATCCAAGTAGCTTTTATAAACGTTACTGGCGTGCATCCCCAGATAGCAAACTGACATTGAATCAACGTGGAAACGACGTCTCTCATGACATTGAAACAACGTTGATTTGCTCATCGAATTAACGTTGAACCAACGTCAGACGCGGCATTCTTCAAAGCTAAATGAAATCGAAAATTGGTTTGCTTTCATAACGTTGAAACAACGTTGATTTCAAGTTGATTTTCCGTTAGTTTTGAAAGAATGACGCATCTGACGTTGGTTCAACATTAATTCGATGAGCAAAACAATGTCAGATCAACGTTGTTTCGATGTCATATTTCCACGTTGATTCAATGTCAGTCTGCTATCTGGGTCTAGAGACAAAAAAAATGCCACTGACATTTCGATTAAAACACTTGCTAACAATGGGAATTTGCGGACACCTTTTGGGATTAGCATTAGGGTTGGGTATCGCGAATCGAGTATCGATTGGAACCGGGACTAATTTTTCGTTTTTCCCGGAATCGTTCAAAAGTTCAAATTTCGATTCCTAGTTTCGATATTCACAGTCCGCCGAGCTGAAGAAGAAACCGCTGAACAACACCAACGAAGAAGCGTCTACCGGAAGTGTTGGTATAACCGCGCGAGTCGAACATGAGTAGCTTACGCCAGCGGTCCAAAGTGTGGCTTCACTTTTCTAAAAATTACGAAATCTCGGCAAAATGCAAAATTTGTGACCGAAGGAGTATTTCCTTCAGAAAGACCGTTGGTTAGCAAGGTTAGCTAAACCATTTTGACCCTGCCTCTTAAAAGAATCGGAATCGAGAATCGTTAGAAACCGGAATCAGAATCGTTCAAATTCAAACGATACCCAACCCTAATCAGCATGCCATTTTCCTGGAAGACACACCCTCCTCTGTGATATCATAATACTGTATGATAATTATTCATATTAAACCAGATTTTTGATGGTCTCAACATGAGAGAGAAGGAATGGGGGAAGCGGGAAAGAGACGTATGATTCTTGCATCTCAAATGGTGATGCTAACTTCACAAGAGAGTTCAAATGTTAATTTCCTTCATTTCTTCCAGTTCTTCCAGACTTACATAACCTTCTGCACATGGGTCCACCCCTGAGTGGTTGAGGTCGCCTATATAGCTTTTACAGCTCACATGTAATTTCAGTTGAGCCCCGTGTGTTCAGATGCTTCATGGGGCCATTGTGCTTTTCTCAGATCAATTGGGTATCAGTGATCAGTGGTGCATTACCTCTTTTCATTCTGTGAGAGGAGCATCTGACCTTCAAGAAAGCCCAGGCCAGATTACAGAAAGCAACCAGATAGTAGATCACCATGAGACAGTATGAGACATGGCTGAAATAAATGAGGAATTTAGGTGTGTTGAAGAGAAGAGCCATGTAGATCAACCAGCTGACGGTGTAGACCAGCATAAAACCTCTGTACAGAAGCCACATCAATGGAGGAATATCCCACTGGCAACAAGAGACAAATTTCACTCCTCATTATAATGGATTCTTGAAATTGACATTAATGCATTCAATGTCTTCAGCATCATTGCATTGCTGATAGATCTAACATGGTTTCTAACTCCAGGCAAGCTGGTCTAGAAGGGTGGTAGATCTCCTTGGACCAGCAGCATACCATCTATGTTGCAAAACTCACCCGTGGCTGAAGCAAAAGCTCTGGTTTAGAAGCGATAAGGTGGAGTTTGTGAACTTTAAACTCCTCCCTCCAGATGTGTGTCCAACTAGCACCCATCTGTCACCAATAAAGAGAAACATACCTCTGAATCACTTCAGTGCCTCTGCTTGCTTGGAATTCATTTTATTGTCACTAATGAATGCAAAAATTCTCCACATTTTTTCTGCATTAGTTGTTTTATTTAAAAGACTTTCACCTTGTATACAAACAAGTCTTTCCTGTCTGAAGTAATTATGTGATTGTCAAACAATTCAGACCTGCCCTGTTAAATTATAGGCTTACATGCATCTACTTAGTAAAAGTTTGAGTTTCACACAACTCATGCTAAGGAATGAATAACGTACGATGATTCTGACTAACCTTCGCAAGAATGCATCCACTGTGAACAGCTACAATGAAGCCTGAGGAAATCTGAGGCTGAAAAAACACACACACTGAAGCAGATGCATCAGTGGGACACACACTGCACTGATTGTGATAGTGCACACTGATGTAGATGCATCACATGTCCTGTGTGGGACACACACTGCACTGATTGTGAAACATTTTAATGAAATTACTGGAGCTAAAAGGTGCAATAGTGAATCTCTTATTCATCTCAATGAGATTAACACTGAGTCTATGAGATGTGGCTGAATGTCAAGATGACATTGCATTTATTTGACATTTTAAGGTGTTCTTGTTAGTCTAATTTTACATTTCCTACTGATTAACAATTATTAACAACATGTAGGGTTAGAATTTGGGTTTGGCTCAGGGTTATTTGCATGTAACTGCATAATATGCTGTTTTTACTATTACTAAGTAAATGTAATGTGTTAAAAAGGACACTGTATGAGTGTTACTGGATTAACGTTTTGTGGCAGTGCATGGTATTGATTGGTAATGCATTTTTTTAAAGTAGGATACACCATGATTTTGGTCAGTTTTTCATGACTATATATTTTTTTTTTTTATTATTATTATTATTATTTGGTCACCATTAATTTGCCAAGTAAAACATGTTCCTGGATCAACATATAGAGCTGGAACAACATTGTCCAAAAATAATATAATAATCCTAACCCATCACTTATCCCTAAAACCAGATGGAAATGAAAGGTAAATAAAAATGTTGTAGAAGCCTAAACTTGACATTAACTAAAAATCTATCCCTCAAATCTGACTGGAATGTTGTTTCGTGTTCTTCTTGGTGAGATCACGTTAACTATTAATATTTAGCCCATTTATTTTGTTGTTTTCTACATATCACAGTATGCCACCTATGGTAAGCCATTTGAAATGTCACCCTAGGCTGCCATTCAAAATCAATTGTTGATATCATTTCTTACTAGTAGTATAAATATAATTTTTTATATCAATGATTGCATTGTTACAAGTAAAAAAGTCAATACATTTACTTAGACTATCAAGTATTTCAATCATCAATGTATTTCTCCAAATCATCTTGGCTTATTGATCACCCATAAAGGGTTAGTTCACCTAAAAATGAAAATGATGTAATTAATGACTCACCCTCATGTCGTCCCAAGCCCGAAAGACCTCCGTCCATCTTCAGAAGACAGTTTAAGAAGTTTTAGATTTAGTCCGAGAGTTTTCTGTCCCTCCATTGGAAATGTACGTCTGGTATACTGTCCTTGTTCAGAAAGGAAATAACATCATCAAAGTAGTCCATGTGACATCAGTGGGTTAGTTGCAATGTTTTTAAGCATCAAAAATACATTTTGGTCCAAAAATAACAAAAACTACGACTTTATTCAGCATTGAATTGTCTTCCGGTTCTGTTGTCAATCTGCGTTCAGTGACGCTGATGATGTGAGACGCTGCAATTTTATTCTTTCGAGTAACAACTGAATTGAATAGCTCTCAAATTGTAATAGTAATAATTGAATTAGAAAGCTCTCTTATTAGAATTCAATTGTAGAGCTCCGTCATTAAAAATGAATGGAAGTCAATGAAGACATATGACTAGGCCTAATACTAATTTGTAGAGCTCTCTAATTGGAATTGTTACAATGAATTGAATAAGAGAGCTCTGTAAAAGTAATTCTTACTAGTAATAATTGAATTAAAGAGCTCAAATTTAAAACTGTTAAAAGAAAAGTCTCAACTAAACTGTTGAATGCTGAATGGAGAATGACTGAGGAGAGGCTTGGGCGCTGTGTTGCATTCTGGGACGTGGCGGCCATGTTGACAGCTTCGCAAATGTAAACAAACAAACCAGCAAGACTAACGAGGAGAAGCAGCTGAGTTGGGAGAAAGAAAATAAAAAAATATATTAAAATCTCTAAAAGGATGCTGAATTTACCGGGATACGTTTAATAGGGAAAGCAGGGACCGGTATATGGATAAAACGGCACTTTTAAAGGGTTGGATCCATTTGAAATTCCCAACAAACAGTGGGAGCACAGTAAGTTACGTTACGCTAAATTAATCAGGACAAAGATAAACTGCGTTCCACCTAACGTAGCTGCTAGTTTAGTAACAGTTATAGTGTTAACAACCATTCACACACACATGTAATGTACTTTTACCTATGTGTTACAAAAGTGTAGTTAATAACGTTAACATTAGCTGTTTTAAGCAAAACTTGAGTTAGTAAGCAAAACGACGCTTAAAGCAAGAGGGTAGCAACAGGACAACAGAGACTGACAGGTCCGATTGAAGGGACAATGTTAATGTTACGAGAATATTAAAATACGGGATATTTTACAGGAAAATAACGTTACTAAAATGGGAAGACAGCGGGAAATGAGCTCAAGTACGCGAGAAACCTGGAAAAAACGTGAGGGTTGACAGCAAACGTTACTACACTTTTGAAACAGTTACTAAACTAGCAGCAAGGTGGAGCGTATCTTAACGTTACCTTTGTCCGGATTACTGTGTTCCCACTGTTTGCCAACTCTTTGTTGGAAATTTCATATGGATCCAAACGGTTAAAAGTGCCGGTTTAGTCCACATACCGGTCACTGGCTTGCCTATTTAACATATCCCAGTAAATTCCACAACCTTTTAGGGATTTTAACATCTTTTTTTCTTTTCTTTATCCCAACTCTGCTGCTTCTCCTCGTTCAACTTGCTGTATGTTTACATGCGCGAAGCTGCCAACATGGCCGCCACGCCAGTAATGACGTCACGACGCCCAAGCCCTATTTTTTTTTTTTTAGTTTTACCATGGTTTTACTTTTACTTTTAATTTTATCTCACGGTTTGCTATTGAATGACTTTAGATGTCTTGGAATATAGTGCGAAAACTTTATTGTGCTTTATTTATGCCTTTAGAGGTTCTTAACAAAATGCACAATATCGGACCTCACTGAAGCTGCAGCCGTGGCGGGATCATGACTTTAGGTGTGGCGGCCATTACAAAGAAGGGATCGCCACGGCAGAGTGAATGTAACGTTAAGTTAGCGGAAACACAAAAATAACTTTCTAATACTCCTTTGCGTTGGTGGATGTTTATTGGTGACACGTCATTGTCAAGTGTCACCACCCTGTCTGTCAGTCACTTAACAAACAAATTGTTCTCCCGAAAGAGCTCGATTCCTGTGAACTAGGCGTTGTTCCAACATCTTCTCATAAAAAAACAATGCCACAGGCAGCGCATGTATGAAACCAGTTAAACAGATGTGCGTTCATGTTCAAACACGCAGGAGTTTTACAAAAAAGCTAAACCCCTATGAGCAAAAAGAGAGAGAATAAGAAATAAGCAAGTGAGAATATCCCTGCATCTTCTCAACTGTGACTGCATTCCCAATGTAGCAGTCAGACTCGCCTTTATTAAAAACACAGTTTAAAGGAGTAGTTCACTTTTAAAAAAAAAACTTTTGCTGATAATTTACTCACCCCCATGTCATCCAAGATGGCCATGTCTTTCTTTCTTCTGTCAAAAAGAAATTAAGGTTTTTGATGAAAACATTTCAGGATTTTTTCCATGGAGTTCATTGGGAACCAAACGGTTCAAGGTCCAAATGAGAGTTTCAGTGCAGCTTCAAAGGAGACAGCCTCAAAAATAAATAAAAAAGTTTAGCAAAAATGCTCACTTTGCTCTGTTCTGTGATGAGCGTTCGTGACTCTCCTGTTCAAACTTGTTCATTAAAATGAAAAAATCTTTTTTCGAGTCATGACTTGAAGGGTCCTTGAAAAGACCCTTATTCATCATCTGGTGTCTTTTAAAGCCCTTTGAAGCTGCACTGAATCTCTCATTTGCACCTTGAACCGTTTGGTTCCCAATGAAATCCATTATATGGAGAAAATCCTGTAATGTTTTCATCAAAAACCTTAATTTCTTTTCGACTGAAGAAAGAAAGACGTGGACATCTTGAATGATGTTGGGGTGATTAAATTATCAGCAAAAAATTTTTTTTTTAAAGTTAACTACTCCTTTAAATATCTTATTGAATGAACGTATTGTGTTTAGTCCTCTGGGAATGTTATTGTGTCCATCAAATTGGACAATTTCTTTATATTTCAATGAAATGATCATACTATATTTTAGTTTTATGGCTCTTCATTATATTTATGCAGTAGTAATAATCAATTTACTCACTTTTCGATCATAGACCTGAAAATCAATTTCCAAATTAATCCGGGTCATAGATCTTGAATGCCCTTCACAGACTTTAGTTTGGTCTCTTTTTAAAGACGACAGAGATTATTGCTGAAGTGGAAAAAGTTTAAAAAGGGTGAATTCCAAAGAAAGGGAAAAGTTATAAACATCCATATTTCTTATGAAAAATGCAATTTTCAATGTTACATAGAATATATATTTTTCAAAACACATTTTACTCAAAAGAAGCACTAATCGCTTGGGATAGAATTTGCTAAATGTCTCATGGAGACGGCATTCTTTGGTCAAAAGGTGTCGAGACATATTTGCAATGAAACCGAAACGTTCTAAAGTTTACGTAGCATGACAGCGCATCACTTTCACAAACCCTGGCACGCCTATTCAGCACACAATACACTTCAGATTTTCCCTTGTAAATACTTTGTCTCAAAATAAACAACCCAACCTAATCTCACGAATGAAGATTACACCAATTTACTTTACAAAAAAAGCACTCAAATTCAAATCAGGTCGTCTCATTTATTTTTTTCTTATGTACAAAAATGAGATCATATATAAACTTTACACAGTTCAAGATCTATTTTGGAAAAAGCAAATCACCAAAAAAAAAAGCGCGTTTCACATTTCTCAAGGACTGTACATTATGTACACATTCTTCTAGTCACATATCTTATATTCATCAAGAGAGTTTCTGAAGTCAAAATAAATAAATGACACTCCTCCACAAAGAGGATGAAAGTCACGAATATTTTTCCGTTGCCAAACAGACATAACAGATCCTCATTCACTCAATTTCCGTGAAGCGTGCAAACATGGCTTTTCGGACGGCATCCTTATAGGTATCTGAGGCTGAGAGGCTGTAGCTGCTTCCTTTAGTTCCCAAACCGGCTCCCTTCGTTCTCAACTGAGCCTGCAGGCAAGACGACAGATTCATGTCAAATTCATTCAACATCAGTCATGTTAGCTATTTGGACACATCAGTCAGCCACTGAGGTTGAGAACAGGGTTCAAAATTAACCTTATATGGAGCATGAGTTGACAAATTCATTAAAAAAAGAAACGTTTTCATTAGCACTTGCCAAATTTTAAACATTAGATCATGCATGCATGTTTTCCTACATTCACAAACATTCATACAAGATACATTTGTGTTAAAATATTTATTAAATACTAAATGTAGCATGATAACATGACGGGTAGAATAATGAGTCGTACCTCGATAGGTGTTGTGATGCCCTGCTGGTTTCTACCCAGACCTTTGCCTTCCTTCCAGCCCATGGCCTGCAGCATCTTATTGCCGATATTATCGCTGTTCAATCCGTCCTTTGTGGGCTGTTCGTAATTTCTGCAAAATCGATCGCCGTCTTAATATTGATAATGCACTTGTATTGCCACAGTGAACATATTGTGATAAAATAAAACACTTCAACTTACACAACAGGTGTTGGCTGGGTAAACTTCCTTTTCTTGGGTGCAGGGGGTTCAGGGATACCGTATTTCTCTCGTCTCTCGGCAGCCCTGTCTCTGTACTTCATCTGTTCGGTAAAAGGGGCATGCACGTCAGCAAATATTCGTTAAAAGAAGGAAGTTTGGCTGTGTGTATTTGTAATGAGGTTACACACCTCTGTCTCTTTCCTCTCCAGCTCTTCCAGTTCTGCTTCGCTCAGTTTGGATCTCCTGAGAACCTCCAAGTTTTGCTGGAAAACAGACATATGAATATATAAATACAGCGTATTTTCAGAAACGATAGACTCAAACGGCCCTGAGTGATTACCTTGTGCAGGTCTGAGAGCTGCTGATGGCGGATCAGACCTTCTTTATTGGGGAACTGCCTTCGGCACAGCAGGCACGCCATCTTCTTCCAGTCGGTCAACTTGTCCTCCCGGTCATCTCCCTCTATGCTCTCTTCCGGCTCACTGTCGCCGCTGTACGCCGCCACCAGCCCCACCTGTGGCGCAGCAAAGGGAGGTGAACAAATAAGCTCACACGACTTGATAATCTGACATGTTTTGTAGTGGTGCGGTGCATTTGGCACCTTTGATGAGGAGCTCTCTTCTTCTGTTGCTTTGGACGCCTCTGTTACGAGCCTCTCCAGTGCCCCTGCCTGCTAATGTGAGAAGAAAAACAGCATATGAATTATGACAAAACCACCATCGTCATCATCATCAGAGAGTGCAATGAGTCTTCAACAATACCTTCTTCTCGAAGAGTGTGAAACCAGCATCCGCTGCCGCTGCCTCCTTCCTCTCCTCCTGACTGATAGGCTGGAAGCTGCCCTTGAAGTTTTCTTTCTGTTTGTTCAGACTCTTGGCCCAGCGCTCCATGTCCTTCGCAATCTGCACAGAGATGGAGGGATTTTAGATTTTTTCAATGAAGGATTGAAATTTTCTACATTTTTCTGTACTCGCCACCATGTTAAGGTGACAAATAGGGCTGGGTAATATTTTTACGAACCGATATCGATTCTTAAATCTCAAGAATCGATTAGTCATCCTGTTTCATTTGAATGGATGGATCATTGTATCGCGGCTGCGCGCATCCAAAAAAAACGCAATAATCTTTATCCTTTGTTACAATTGATATGAAACAAAGTCTCAATTTTCAAATTGTCCATTTTATTTAGAAATTCAAAAACATCTGGCGCAGCTCAAGAGAAGCAGCAGCGCTGATCTCTCTTCCGGCTTAATAATACCAGTCACGGCGCGAAATAAACATGAATGAGCATCTGAAAGTGTGTTAAAAAATAGAGTACAACTTATTGAAATCCATATCATGTTACATTGATTCGCTCAATCAGAGTTTCAACCGTGAAAAGACGTCAGTTAAACAGCTTGTAATCAATGTCATGTATCGTCATATTTACCTCAGAATGAAAACACACATAAACTCGTTAGTCAGCTAGAAAAAATAACTCTAGAGAGGAGCATTTTGCTAAATATGTACACCATATTACATATGCACTATAATCTTAATGTTATTCAATATTTAATGCATATTTGAATAAACCTGGCAAGTTTTTATGACAGCCACCATTTAAATGTTAATATTTCATATAATCTTCTTCTTATAAAAATAAATAAGTGTAATTTAAGTGTTTGTATAGCTTCAAAACAGTTCATTATTACCTTCATATTAGGCTAATGAAGCCTAGTAGGCTGCAACTAGACTCCCATAGTTTAAAGCATTAGTTAAGAGATTTGATTTCCTTGAGAAAATTTGCCTTTTATTGTAACTGATATCCAAAATAATCAATATTGAATCGAATCAAAATCGAATTGCAAGCTTGTGAATCGAAATCGAATCGTGAAATTTGTGTCAATACCCAGCCCTAGTGTCAAATAGTTGCTGGGACATTCCTAATATGTTGGTTTTCTGAGTGGGTTAGCAAACATTTATTACCTGCTGAGCCGTTTTGCTCTTAGGTTTCTCTTTCTTCTCTTTGCCCTCTTTCTGAGGAGCCGAGGCAGCGTTCTGAGCCGCATTGTTGGCGTCCACCGCCGGCACGTAGGCCTGCTTCTCCCCGTCCCAGTACAGATACTGCTGAGTCTGGGAGTTGTAATA